TTCCCATTCTGCCCTCCACCTTGATACACAAGGAATGGAGCAGGTTATCATGAGACAAAAGTTCTTCTTTTTAAAGAAATTCGATTTGGAACTCTTATATGTCCAAGGTATTTTCTCTTACATGTACTAACATGATTAAATTGATTTATGTTCAAAGCACCATAAAGAAGATTTTTGGCTCTAGCATTCAATGATAATTTTCTTTTCTCATCATTATCATATTTTTTTAGGTTTGGGAATAGTTTGGTCCGATTTTTTATCAAGTTTAATAACTTTAGTATGCTTATGAGGACCAAATTCAATAACCTCCCAAACATTATAATCAATTGATTGAATGTAAATCATCATTCTGGTTTTAATGTGTGCTATCAAACAAAGGAGGACGATTTATAGAATGCCCCTTAAAATTAAAATTAGTCATAACACTAGATAGTGAATTCTTAAAAATGTGCACCTAGACTCTGATACCAATTGATAATCCAAGAATAACTAACCAAGAGAGGGGGTGAATTGGTTTTTAAAACTTTTTCGATACTTAGTCTCAAAACAATACAATACACAAGATATAAATGCAAAGTATAATACTAGAGTTAAATATGCAAGTTCGATAACTTAATTCAAGTATGGATATAGTACAATATAAATGGCAATGTAAAGTAAAGTACAATAATGTAAAGATAACAAACCAATTTAATGGGGTTCGATACACAATGTGTTCTACGTCCCCGTTACCAAGCTCTCCGTCACAAGCAATGTCAAATGCACTATAATGATAACTTACAAACAAGGAGTATCAATCCTTAAGTGACTTACAATAAGGAGCACTTATCCTTAAGTGACTTACAACAAGGAGCACTTATCATTATGTGACTTATAACAAGGAGCACTTATCTTCAATAACAATCGAGTTTTCACAAGGTTCTCGAAACCACCAAAGTATAAATGATAATTTTACAATTAAAAGAACTCTCTTAACAAATGATATAATCAAGTCAAGTATTTAGAGAGTTAGGATAACACTTCAATAAATAGCAAGTAATAAAGC